CACAGTAAAAACTAAACCCCAGGCCGGGCGCTGTGGCTCACGCCTGTAATCCTAGCTCTTGGGAGGCCGAGGCGGGCGGATTGCTCAAGGTCAGGAGTTCAAAACCAGCCTGAGCAAGAGCGAGACCCGGTCTCTACTATAAATAGAAAGAAATTAATTGGCCAACTGATATATATATAAAAAATTAGCCGGGCACGGTGGCGCATGCCTGTAGTCCCAGCTACTCGGGAGGCTGAGGCAGAAGGATCACTCAAGCCCAGGAGTTTGAGGTTGCTGTGAGCTAGGCTGACGCCACGGCACTCACTCTAGCCTGGACAACAAAGCGAGACTCTGTCTCAAAAAAAAAAAAAAAACTAAACCCCAAATCAACAGTTCTTTAAATACAAAATTCAGAGATGTATAAATCTAAATTCCAAGAAAATTAATGGAAGCATGACTTAATGAGATATGCTTTGCTAACAGTATCAAGTTAAAAAAAAAAGTAAACTTTTTAAAGACAATAATTAAAGCATAAAATTTCAGTCATTCTCGAGTAGTTCCATTGTATTTCAGAAATTTGGTATTGTAGCTGGGTGTTAAATTTGTGTTGAAAGAAAATATTTAAAGCTGAAATTGTGATATAAACACACATCAGTCCTCCAAACCTTCTGATACTGCTACCGAAACTGTCCTTACAAACTAATAAAAAGGGCTGCAAGGCAAGAACTGTGGGAACTGTCCTCTTGTTTACTTCTCTGTAACTGCTACTCTGGAGCCACAACAGCTGGTGGTCATAAAGATCCTTAGCTTTCTCCATAGATAATATTACCTAAACCTAGGGGTAGTTTCTGAGATATCTTCCAGGTCCCCAATTCCAGTAGACCAGCTGACCCACCCAGACCAGCAGGCTATACCAATGAACTGACTCAACTGATCTTGTGACCCGACACAAGGAACCCAGCTAATTAGCAGATTCAATTGCCTACACCAAACTGTCTTTAAAAATCCTGTCTCCCAAATTTTTGGGAGGCCGATTTGAGAAATTTCTCCCATTTCCTGCTTAGTGCTGTAAACTAAAATCCCCCCCCCCCCCCACTAAATGGACCCCCTCATGGCCAAGGAATATCCTAAAGCAAAATTGTCAGCCAGGAGGAGGGAGGTCAGACATGCTTTATCATGCCCTCCTCCCTTCTTAGAGACTGTTTGTAACCCATTAACAGGCCTAAGGGTATGCAAGACAAACCTGCAAGTCCTCAATTTATGCAACAAATGGTGGCTTATCTCTGGTAAACATTTTATGTTAAAACATCTAAGCTCACACCTGTAATACTAGCACTCTGGGAGGCCGAGGCAGGTGGGGATTGCTCGAGGTCAGGAGTTTGAAACCAGCCTGAGCAAGAGTGAGACCGATAGAAAGAAACTAATTGGCCAACTAATATATAGAGAAAAAATTAGCCGGGCATGGTGGTGCATGCCTGTAGTCCCAGCTACTCGGGAGGCTGAGGCAGCAGGATTGCTTGAGCCCAGGAGTTTGAGGTTGCTGTGAGCTAGGCTGACACCACGGCACTCACTCTAGCCTGGGCAACAAAGCAAGACTCTGTCTCAAAAAAAAAACAAAAAAAAAACATTCCAAGCCTTTAGACAAAGCTTCATGTCTTTAAGCCAATTACAATCCAAAAAATCTTTAAACCCACCTATAACCTGTAAGCCCCCCTCTTTGAGATGGCCCACCTTTTTGGGCCATACCAATGTATGCCTCCCACATATTGATTGATGGCTTTACCTGGAATCCTTGTCTCTAAACTGTATAAAAAACAAACTGTAACCCAGCCACAACAAGTCCACTTGCCCAAGGCCTCTTGGCAGTGGCTCCAGGTCATGGTCCTCAAATTTGGCTCAGAATAAATCTCTTTAAAATTATTTTGCAGAGCTTGGGTTTTTTCCATTGATAGTGCTATGCAGAATAAACTCTTTCTCTACCATGAACCCTGCTGACTCAGTGTTTTGGCTTCCTCTTAGGCAGCAGGGCAAATGAACCTGGTTGGGAGGCAACACTAGCAAAAATTTACTTTCTTCATTCTTCTGTTACCTTGACTTCCTACATCAATTCATTCCCAACTTTTGCTGCTTGTCTATTTTTCTAAGTCACTCATGCCAGCAAGGTTAGTGATTGCCTCACAGGATTTCCTCGCTGAATGAGGATGAAGCTCATTTCATGCCTTTAGTATACCTAGTTCTAAGAAATGTAACTATGACGTCACCCATTTTGCAAACTGTGGTACCCGAACCCTAAACTGAATCTATGAAGTAACAGTTGTTTCTTAGTTATATAGTCCACAGGCTAAAATAATGCAATAAGCTTATTTCTGTCTAGAATACACTGACTGATTACCATACTGCTTATTCTTGATTAGAATGTTTGGTTATTTGAAAAAATGAAACCAATTTTTTAAATAAAACCATCTTTATACTCACAGGATTTGTTTAATGGAAAAATATGAAAAAAGATTTTCAGGAAATGAGAAATAAGCTAAAAATCTTTGAGCTACAGGGGCTCCAGAATGATACTGGTGACAGAAATATTTTTGGTGCACACCACAGAGTACCAAATAAAAAGATATTCTAGATGTCAAATGTTATAAAACAAGACTTTGGGTAATAATCATACTAAAAGATATACAGTTGGCCCTCCACATCTGTGGGTTCCACATCTGCAGATTCAACCAATCACAGATCAGAAATATTTGGGGAGAAAAAATGAATGGTTGCATTTGTGAACTAAAATAAAATTTTAAGGCTCACCCCCCACCCCCATCGGCTGACTGAACAAACCCCACCCCCCCCATGGCAAAAGGAATATCCTAAAACCAAACTGCCTGCCAGGAGGAGGCAAGTCAGATATGCCTCATCAGCCTCTCTACTCTACTCCTTGGCCCTCCCTTCTTGGAGACATCCTTTGTAACCCATTAACAGGCCTAAGGACATGCAAGACAAACCCCACAGGTCCTCAATTTACACAACAAATATATGTCCAGTGGATTATCTCTGATAAACAGCTCCTATGTTAAAACTTTCTAATCGAGGGGTGGGATTCTGCCAGCCGCGGCTGCCGCTGGAGCCCGTGTCCGGGCTGGTGATGGGGTTAATTCCCTTTCGTAAGACTCTTACTTGCACCCACCCAGCCCCGCCGTCGCCCCGCCGTCGCCCCGCCGCGCCGCGCTCCAGCCGCCTCCTCCTCAGTAACGCGGGGCACTGAAAGTTATGATATATTTGATCCAAGACAGTCCATTCCAGTCCAGGAATCTACAGTGGTGACAAGGACATGGGACTCCTCCTGCCAGATTACAGATGGTACAATACAATTGACATCCTGGCTGACAACTGTGGAAAGGAACCTTGGATTATTTTATTTTATTTTTGTGGAACCCCACAAACCCAAATCCATAGGACACATCAGGCTTCATTCTAAAATAACCTTTGCTGATGAGGATGTCTGATACTGTTACTATAAAAGATGAAACTGAAACAATGAAGATTTGGAGCAGAAATGAAAGATACAACCGGAGTGAAAATATTATCAAATCAGAAAACTATGGAAAGATTTTGGCAGAGAAGAATGACCGTTGTATTGACAACAATATTGATTTGCAGGAGAAAATTCAGATCCCATTAACACAATCATTTGAAAAAGAGAGAAGCCCTCAAAAGATGAAGCGGAAAAGAAAAAAGCCAGTGATAAGTTGCCCAGAAAAATGTTATCAAGAGATTCCAGTCAAGAATACACTAATTCAACTGGCATAGATCTACATGAATTTTTAGTAAATACATTAAAAAACAATCCCAGGGACAGAATGATGCTGCTGAAATTGGAACAAGAAATTTTAGATTTCATTGGTAATAATGAGTCTCTACGTAAAAAATTCCCCCCAATGACATCATACCATAGGATGCTGTTACATAGAGTAGCTGCTTACTTTGATTAGACCACAATGTTGATCAGAGTGGAAGTCTGTCATAGTAAACAAAAACTAGCAATACAAAAGAAACCTGATCAGAAATTTAATGAACATATTAAGGATGATAAAGGTGAAGACTTTCAGAAACGGTATATCCTCAAGAGAGATAACTCTAGCTTGACAAAGATGACACCCAGATGAGAATACGTTTGAAAGATCGTCCTTAGATGCAGAAGAAGCAAATCTATAGAAGAAAGAGAAGAAGAGTACCAGAGAGCTAGAGACCGGATATTTTCCCAAGATTCCCTGTGTTCCCAAGAGAATTATATTATTGACAAAAGAATCCAAGATGAGGATGCTAGTAGTACCCAGCAGAGGCGCCAGATATTCAGAGTTAATAAAGATGCTTCAGGAAGATCAACAAATAGCCATCAAAGCAGCACTGAGAATAGTTGAAGTATTAGAACCACGACCCTGGAGCAGCACAGATTCAGACAACTCTCCGAAACTAAAACCTGCCGTAACCAAAGCCAGCAGCTTTCATTCCCCCC